GGAAGATCCCACATGCCGCGGAGCGGCTGGGCCCGTGAGCCATGGCCACTGAGCCTGCGCGTCGGGAGCCTGTGCTCCGCAATGGGAGAGGCCACAGCAGTGAGAGGCCCACGTACCACAAAATAAATAAATAAATAAATAATAATAGCGAGACTAATTCCCATATTTGTTGGAGCTGTGGAGGAAAATCCCACGAGAACAGGCCCAGAGAAAAGGCGCCTCTTTCCCACAGGAGCACGTGCTGAATTTTCACCTCCTCTTACTGCCCAGACCCAGAGGACACTCAGAGACCTCCGCATCCGAAAAGCTGCGCCTCTGAACATAAGGTTGAAGGAATAAAAATGTTTTCAGGCGATTGCGAGAGGCAGCAAATGCAGGCAAGATTATTAGAAATAGAAACGTGCACAAAGACAACCTTAAACCTGCTTGTGAAAACATCAGATGACCCCTACTTAAGCGCCAGGACATCAATCACATCTCCAAACCTCGGCACGGGAGAGTTAAGTCTACAACCCAGGTCCTCTGAGAGGAAGAGCAGCTCACCACGTGAAGGCTACCTCACTCGGCAACACTGTTGGTACAGCAACTGGAAATATATCTTCCTTGTCCACTGGCCTCCGGACAGCGGACATGCAGTGAGTGACCACCAACAGCCACCTAGCACCTGAGTCCTTTTCCTGTCCTCTAACAGTCAAACTTTTAAACTCTGACTAAAATCGTTTAACGAAAAAAACCACCATGAAATCTTCTGGCTTAATACTGAAGGTTTAGTCCTGTGTCCCAGAAATGCATTCTATAATGCTGACATTTGGTTTTGATCTGATTTTAGCATCTGGCCATTCAGCATTCACTCTAAAGGTAGATGATGCGCACATCTGTGATACAGACACTGAAAATCCAAACGGCTAACAAAAGAATGAAAAGCAAGCAAATCCACAGCCCATGATTAATGAGAACCTGACCTTGGTTTGTGATCACTAAAGGGTATCACAAGGGTAAAAATGAAAGGTAACATCAAATACATGAAGAGTCAAAGCTTCAAAAGTTGCCAGGAAATGCTGGTTAAATTCAGCTTTTTATAGCAATCATTTAAAATGTGTTGTTGTTGCTGTTTTGTGAGAACTCTCAATACCGCAAAGTTGATCATCTGAAATATGGAACTATAGCAATTTAACGACTTTTCTGTTTATAAATTAGTCCAGGGCTTGGCATTGCTATAGTTTGTGCTCGAGTACTCCAGACATTTTACGAGACAGAAGGGTCTGCCTTCACACATCTGAGCCCTGAACTGGACCCTGAGAGACAAGTAAGACACGGGACACCTACAGGACAGTAAGATAAAAGGGCAGTGAGCAGAGAGGGCAGGAGTGTGCTTGGGCCCTGGAGACAGCCAACACACAGGACGGCTGAAGCAGCCTTGCTGAGCCCTTGCCAGGTGAAGGGCTATGTTGTGTTTTCTAGTCATGTGATTCCTACTCTTTTTTTTAAAAATAAATTTATCTATTTTATTTATTTTATTTTTGGCTGAGTTGGGTCTTCATTGCTGCGCACAGGCTTTCTCTAGTTGCGGCGAGCGGGGCTATTCTTCGATGAGGTGCGCAGGCTTCTCATTGCGGTGGCTTCTCTTGTTGCGGAGCATGGGCTCTAGATGCATGGGCTTCAGCAGTTGTGGCACGCAGGCTCAGTAGCTGTGGCTCACGGGCTCTAGAGCACAGGCTCAGTAGTTGTGGCACGCGGGCTCCGCAGTTGTGGCTCGCAGGCTCTAGAGTGCAGGCTCAGTAGTTGTGGCGCATGGGCTTAGTTGCTCCGCGGCATGTGGGATCTTCCCGGACCAGGGCTCGAACCCGTGTCCCCTGCATTGGCAGGCGGATTCTTAACCACTGCGCCACCAGGGCAGCCCCGATTCCTACTCTCTTGTATGACTTTTGGCAGCGCTGAGTAGTCCGAAATGGAGTCACAGTGACCAGTGTGAATCTCCGTGGTGACTGTTCAGAAACGTGCGGTGTTTGGTAACGTCCTCAGAAAGACGGCATGGGAACAGAAGGGGTGACAGGTAGAGAAGTGAACCCCAGGTGCATAACTCTTTAAAACACTGAGACAGTGGCTGGAAGGCTCATCGTCCCAGGACCTTACGCTCTGAGGCCGAGGAGCTGCTTCAGACAGAGACGCTGCTGGAGGCACTGTCAGATCAGACGGGGACTTCCCGCTCGCTCACACCCCAGGAAAAGGGACCAACACTCATGCTGAGACGCCCCCCCCCTTTGTCACCCCTTTCCTTCCCTCAGGTGCATGATTACCTTCTCTTGTGTAGTGTGGTGTGTACAATAAACCGAGAGATTCACAAACTGAATATCGGCTACCCTCCATGTTACCTCCCACGCCACGATTCTTACCTGGCCTAACCGCTGGGCCCTGCAACAAAACATTAAGTCTGCAATGCTTCTGACATGAAGACAAGGGGTGTAAATGGAAATGGTGGAAATGGTAACGTCAAGGAAGGTAAAAGGCTAGACTGACTTGGAAAAATTAACTGAAATCAAGACTTCAACACACTACGCTGCAAATCACATAGGAAAACTTGGACACCAGCGTGAAGTAACAGCGATAAAAAAAAAGCACTGGGAAGAACAGGAGAATGCCCGGAAAGTATATTCAGGTTCTTTCATGCCGACAGCAAACGCGCTACCAAGAAATACATTCAAGTGAGAAAGATTAAAACCCCAGAGAAACATCCAACAGGATGAAGCCTCGTTATACCTACCAACTCAGGGGCTGTGGAACTTCAACTTTCTGTCCGTCCACCTCCAGGTCCTCCAGTTCCTTGAAATACTTGTTCTTTAAGCAATGGAGAATCTCTTTTGCGTGGCTATTAAAAAGTAAGCAAGTTTCAAATCCATCTCGAAAGCTAATTTAATAAATTTTATCTCTCTGTAAATTCAAGATTATGTTTTAAAACTAAAACCATCGTTGTGTGGAGAGAACAGTCTTTAATTACTGCCTTTTTACTCTATTCTTTCACAGCTTAACAATCCTCATTGTCTGACCGCTAAAAGGTGATAAACTAAATACAATACTACTGCATTCCTTCCCTCCTAAATATTCCTCGAGTTCCAATTTCACTTGCAGGTCATCTTCAAAAGGTATAACTGAAACCATACCCTGTAACTTACACACTCAAGGCCCATAAGGCAAAACACAGTGATTAACTGAGACCTCTAAGCTTGTTTTGCAAAAGACCAGGGATGTGCAGACATGAAAACAACGTGCTAAAGGACCCTTCGCGTGGCACAGGCGCGTTTAGGGACTAAAATAACCCACGGTAAACTTTAGACATCAGAGGCTGAAAATCCACCACATGTAACAGACAGAACGCCCCACCCCGAATTTGCACATGTGACCCATAAACAGGCATGAAGGACAGAGAACCTGTAGGGAACTCTTGAAACTCACCCCAACTTTCCACCCATCATTTCCGAGCCCCCTCCTCCTCTTACTGCCCACCTCCAAGATAAATACCCCACTCAACAGCTGACGGGGAGAGCTGAGCACTGCCTCCTGTCTCCTTGCTTGGTTGCCCTGCAATAAAGCCTTTTCACTTTCTGCAAAAGCCCCTTGCCTCCGTATTTGGTCTTTGTGCAGCGTGCAATGGGCGCGGACTTGCGCACCTACACGAATACAAAAAAAA